TTTTTTTTTTTTTTTTTTTTTTTTTTTTTTTTCATTAACTCGTGTTTTCAATTTTTCACTATTCGTTCAATTCTTATAAAGTGGCAACGAGTTGCTAAACGTTTTTGTATTTATTTTACACTTGTATTTTTTTTCTCTTTTTTCTCCTTTTTTCTTTTTTGTAAAGATTCACGCAATCGCGATACAAATAATGAATAAAGTACGCGTTATAGCCGGTATCGTGCACAATTGCAATTACAGAGATCAGTAACGTTGAACAGGAAAACCTGGAGGATAATACCAATTTGAGGAAGATATTCGCGATAGCCCATGAAAATGATCGCGACTTATTGTTATTCGAAACGAATCGCAAGTTCCGCCTCGTGTGGGAATGAATGAAATGGAAAATTTTTCGAACGGAACGAGCCTCTCTGTTGTTTCGTCGTCTCTTTATTTTCTCGAATGTACCACGGCTAATATTCAAAATTTTTTCGAACAAATGATCTTTCATCACTACTTCGAGTCGTGACACGCCGATGACCGATCCAAACACACAATCGAACCACTGTTTCGATAAATGATATCATTTTTATTTATTCGCAAAGCATCTCGAGCTGTTATATTTTTTTTTTTCACCGAGATCTCGATAATATTTCTCGATCGCGTGACATTGGCGCGAAATCGATAAAAATTTCGATAAATAAATATTTTAACAAAATACCACGAAACAATATTGTCGCAGATGTTATGCTGCCGCTTACGCTTGTTATTACAATAGTGGAGGGAAAGAAAAGAAGAAAAAAAATGTAAACCGTCTCACGTTTTCGCTTGATCGAGGAGGCGAAATTGTAAACACCACGAATGTTATTCGAAGAGTCTTTCGTATAACAATTTCAAATAACGGGTAATGTTTACGGCAATGTTGTCCGCGCTATCGATCAATCGAATCGTATCACGTTTTAAAAACAAATGGAACGATTCGATTTATTCCATATAATTAAAACGCGAATCATCTATATATCAATTCTATAGTAATTATCATTTTCGTCAAAATCAATTCGAACGAAATTAAAAAGACTTGAATTTGAACTTAACGCTACGTAAAGTAGTTCGTAGAAAGAATTATGGACAAACCTTTGGTATATAAATATATATATTTATCTAACAAATATATATCAGAAGTTTCTTCGTTCCGCAAATTGTATTACGTCCCGTACAGTTTCCCATTCCGGCAAACAACGCGGAACATGTACACGCGGAAGAGAATAACATACGGCGAGAAGAGAGACGGAATTTCTCTCACGATAATCTCATATCAGCGTTAATCGTAGTCAATCACTTTTACTTTACTCTGAGTGGCGAGTCTCGTGCGCGTCTCAATGCAAGGATGTTCCGCAACTGGATTTTCGCCGCGGAACGATCTATAAATCCGCGGTCACGAGGAGAGGTTGGAATGTAGATGGAACGGCGATGGCACGTCGGAAGAAGGCGAGGGAGAAGAGATGTGTTATGATCGAAGTTATTTCGATTGCGATCGCTGAATGTCCTCGACGGTCGAGTGGACGACGACGGCGACGACGGCGACGACGATGACCACGACAACGACGACGATAATCGACGACCATTCCCTTGACACCTCTTCCGCGTTAAATCTATTGGATGGGACTCACGAATAGAAAGAAAGAAGGTGGTCACGTGGTTTCACGCACACGCGCACACGCATAGGACGAGAGGTCCGTCGTGGGTTTTTTCGCGTTCAGCACTGAGATAATTTTCGCCGCCGCGTTCGCATTTATAGAGAGAAGCCGGCCGGCCTCTCTCATCGAAACACCGTCGTATCATGAACCGCCCTTCCAGGGCCGTCTCGAGGTCTGCCAACCTCTCAGTCACCACCACCAGAAATTCCCTCCACCCCCTTTTTTCCGTTCCACTCTTTTTCCGCTGAAAAATTCCCTTCCCTCCTTCCCCCCATTGTTCTCTCCTTTCCCAGCCCTTTTTTTTCGATCGAAACGAGTCCAGCCACTTACTTTGGAAAAGTAACTCTCCGATCCTTTCTTCTCTCGTGGAATCAGATCTCCAGCGGATTTGCTCCAGGTTAATACCGTGTTGATAATTAACAATGCCACTCGAAGTTCGCGGAAAGAAATAATCGGGCACACTTTTTTCTCGATCCAAGTGGCAATTTTTTTTTTTGTCAAGAGAAGAAGAGTTCAAAGAAACAAACGCCCAAACGTTTTTAAAAATCTTTCGAAAAGTGTTTCTTCGTTCCACGACTAATAAGGTTAAGTTACTTTACTTAGCTCAAGGACGGAACAGAGATTCTTTCACGTCGCGGCAAATCGAATCTCGATTGATAATAAATTTTGAACAAATCGCGTTTTCGAACTTCACTACTGATCTAACAAATTTTTTGACTTTTCTATCAATCGCGACGAAATTCCGTTCCGTCGCGGTTATCCGTTGGTTCGCTTTAGTAAAAGGTAGAATTATATTATACATTCACAAAGGAGACACGACCTCCACGGTGATTGTACTTACGTTTCAACACTCGTATAAAAAAAGTGATGTCAATAACAGCAAGTATACTTACGACTTTCGTATGATCTAGTTTCCTCGAGGAGGAACCATTTTAAATTTGGTCAACGGTCTGCTTCGTATATAAACGAACGGACGAAACTATATTTTTTTGGAGAGAGGGAGATAGTGTCGCTCGAAAGTATTAGGATAATTGTTTGACTTTTGATGCGATTGGAGATATCGGAACGAAATTAAAGCATGTGCAACAAAGATATGTTTCGAAAATATTGAATTATTTACAATAGAATTTAGAAACATTGAAATGTTGGCAAAAAATAAAAAGTTTTTGTTGTTTTTGATAAATTTTCATTTTAATTATATATAATTAATATTTATGCGGCTTAAGGCAAAGACAATTATCGATAGTCATGCCGAAAGACGAATTTTTTACGAACTGGTTTTTACGAATTTGATTATCGATTCGTATTTTTCCACTTCGTCGTTAGAAAATTTATAGATACTAACCGAACATAAATAATTGTGATTACTAGTAAGACAAAAAAAGAAAAAATAATACGAAATTTCGATCAAAGATGGAAAGGAAACGTTAACGTACGAACTTGTTGATACTTATTTCGTAGCGAGCACCATTACGAGAGACGTGATCGAGCACGGGGTGCAATATACTCAGTCGAGGTCTCCAACTATCCTTTTTCTTTATCGACCACTTTGTTATCCCTTTACGATCGAATGTTTCTTTGAATCACCGAGTCTCATTATATGATTGCCAGGACCTTCGAACCCGATTTTT